GGGCCGCGGGGAGGCGGGCGCGGCCCAGGCATGGGGGCTTGCACGGCAAACTCTGGCTGAGGGGCGGTCAGGGCTCCGGCTCCAGCGGGGAGGCCCTGGGGGGAGCCCCGGGGCCCAGGGCTGACCCCGGAGGGAGCCCCGCAGGGCACAGCACGGGTGTCACGGATGAGCGGGCGGCAGAGTTCCTGGCCGCTCCTGCCTGTGCCTGAGTGGGGGGTGGGGGGTGAATCACTCCTGGACGGTCGGCTCCGCTCCAGGCTTGCGCTTGGGAGAGAAGAGGCCCACCAGGGCGGAGGGCAGGGCGCAGGGCCGGGCAGGCGGCGTTGGTGGAGCATTCCAGGCAGGGGTAGCCAGGGCCAGAGCTGGGGTGTGGGGGTGAAGGGCCAGGGTCAAGGTGCTGAGGGTTGGCAGGGACAGGGCTGACAGATGGTTAGACCAAGGGCCTGGGGTGCCTCCCCCTCCCCAACTCCTTGGCCACTGCAGTCCCGGCACCTGCACACTGGCTCCCGCTCGTTGCCACCCCTGTGGGGAAGGCTGCTGCCAGCATGCTCCCATTGAGGGCCTGCTCACAGCTGGTGGACAGCTCGGGGCAGGAGGGCCCTGGAGGACTGTTCCTCGTCCTCCCTCTTCCTGGGAACGGTGCGGCCAGGGGTCCTGGAAGCTCTGCTGGGGGCCAGCCTGGCTCCTGAGGCCTGGCATGGGAGCCTGCAGGGCAGCCTGAGAGCCCCGGCTGCTTCCCCCAGGAAGTCCACCATGCTCACCCTGCCCCCGCCCTGTGGGCCACAAGCTGTATTGCTGGTTCTCTCCATCCCCAGCGGAGTCCTGGCCAGCCCCCCCGCCCCCTATTTGAGGGCAAAGAAGGGAGCTGCCGCAGAGCTAGACCCAGGCAGCACCTGCCTACAGCCGCAGCACCAGCTGTTGCTCTGAAGATGAGCCCCGGGAGCCCTGCCCGGCCCAGCAGGAGAACATTTGGTGGGTTTGTGCCTGAGGAACTCAGGTGTGGTGGAATTTCTGGGTGAGGCCCAGGTAGGGAGGCGAGTGTCCTCTGTGGAAGGATGGACGGCTAGTCCTGCTACTTGCATCTTGAATCCCTGGCTGCCCACCATGCCCTGGACCAGGAGGCCGGCCCTCCTTCCTGACTCCAGGAGCGGAGCCTCCAGTGAGCAGTTTGCCTGCCCCATGCATATCCCTCCCCCACCTCATTAACACAGCCCCATCCAGCCTGGACAACCTGAGCGCCTTACCCAGCGTGCTTCTCCTGCTTCCCTGAGGTCAGGGCTTAGAAAGGATGGGAGGGACCCATTCCAGGCAGCTTTCGAGCTCAGGAGCACAGTAGGGGAGAGGTTGGGCCACTTAATGAATTTTTGTCCAGGTTGGGCACTGGGACTCCTTCTGGCTGCCCCAATACCTTTGGGCTCAAATGGGGCCTCCAGGCCCATCCTGGACCAGCCGCGCAGTGAGGGGCAGGAAACGGAGGGAACCACAGCACTGCACTGGCAGCCGAGAGGGACGGCAGGGGGAGGGGAGCACGGAGGACAGTGTCCCCCAAGGGAAATGGTGGGAGACTCCAGATGTCCCAGTGAGGGTCACTTGTGTGTTGTGGAGAGCAGGTAGAGGGGTCTCGGCAGAGGGGCCTGCTGCATTGTCCTCCCTGCCCGGCCCCTCAGGTCAGGCCTGAGGGTTTTGGCCTGGGAATGTAGGTGTCTTCCTGTCCATGCCAAGGGACCTGAGTCCTTATTGGATGGTGTGAGAGTTGACCAGGGCTGTGTGGCTGCGAGTCTTGGTTTTCTTGTGGCTTTGGAGACTGGATGAACCAGGCTAGGGAGTGGACAGGGGCCTCCTTGGCTGACAGTGTCTCCGTGGGGTGTCCTGAGCGGTCCCTACGAGAGCACACGTCACACTGAGTTGAACCCTGTAAGGAACCTCTCTCCCAAGTGTCACAGCCTGGGTCCTGGTGGAACGGTCCACCTGGAGCAAGCAAGCTCCCTCCCCTGAGTGGAGAACGCGTCCAGCTTGCGGGACGGTGGGTGTGGGGACTGCAGTAAGAAGGGGACACAGGCCCGTCAGCCCAGAGGGGTTCCCAGAGGAGCTGCCTCCCCGCGCTCTGGGACAGAGTCTGCGCCTTCCCAGCACAGTTGTGTCCACCCCCAGCTGCAGCTCTGCTGGCTGCCGAGGAACGCCGGCTGTGTCCTGAGCCTTCCGCTGGCCGCTGCCTCCAGACTGTGCTAGGTGGAGCTGAGACTCCCCCACAGACCCAGTCTGCTCGGGTGCTGCCTCAGCTGTAGGCAGAGAATGCAGGCTGGGGCCTCATCTCACATCCCAGTCATGAGAGGCTGTGTGACTGGGGGAGGAGTCACACGGCTCCTGGGTAGCGGCGGAGGATGCTCCTCGGTGGGAGCAGGCTTCCTCCCCGACCCTCTCCTTGCTCTGCTGCTTACCTGGCAGGGCGAGTCCTGGTGGGCCGCCTCCCCTTCACTGAGGCCTGCACAGGCAGCAAGGTGCCAGAGGCTGTGGGCCTTCCCAGGAGCACACCCTTGTCTGTTTGCCCGACAGGCCTGTGCCAACCTGAGCAGGGGGGTGGGAGGGAACCAGGTGGCCTTTCCTGGACATTCCGGAGGTGGTCTTGGGCAGAACACAGAGAGGCTTCACGGGCTGGCGAGGCCTCCACTCCCACCAGTGCTTGGAGGGGCTGTTGCATGCCGTCCTGCTGAGACCAAGGAGAGACCCTGGGCTTCTGTCCCAGGAAGCAAGGCTGCTGTATTCCCAGGCTGGAAGCCCCCTCCCTGGTCCAACTGCAGTGAGCCCCAGCCCTGCCAGGCTCCTGTAGACCCAGGGCCAAGTGTGGGCAGCGCTGGTAGCCCTGAGAGCAATGTCAGTCAGAACACGCAGGACCTGGCCGCCGCCACCCCCGCCAGCACCCTGCCCTCCAGGGCCTGTCGGAGCTGGGGTGGAGGGCTTGGTCCCCCAGAGTGCGCAGCTGAGCACGCAGACCTGCACCTCCTCCCTGCCAGCGGGCCTGGGGAAGACAGTGCTCAGCTCTGCCCCTTTGCTCAGTCTTCTGGAAAGTGTCTGCTTTGAGCCTTAAGAGAAGTTCTCTGAAGTGGAGCACAGACCCCCCCCATCCCCATGCTGCCCGCCCTCCCCATGGGCCAAGCCCCATGCTTTCCACACGGGCTGGGCTTTGAGCCCCATGCTGTCCACACGGGCCGGACCTCGAGCCCCACGCTGCTCCTGCTCCACATGGACCAGGCCTCGCGCTGCCCACACGGGCTGGGCCTCAAGCCCCACGCTGCCCACCCTCCACACGGACCAGGCCTCATGCTGCCCACACGGGTCTGGCCTCAAGCCCCACGCTGCCCACCCTCCACACGGACCAGGCCTCGCGCTGCCCACACGGGTCTGGCCTCAAGCCCCACGCTGCCCACCCTCCACACGGACCAGGCCTCGCGCTGCCCACACGGGTCTGGCCTCAAGCCCCACGCTGCCCACCCTCCACACGGACCAGGCCTCGCGCTGCCCACACGGGTCTGGCCTCAAGCCCCACGCTGCCCACCCTCCACACGGACCAGGCCTGGGCCTGTGGCTCCCAGGAGTACAGGCCACACCAGTCTTGGTGTTAACTGCCCTCTGGCCAGCCTGGGAAAATGTGCAGCTCTGCTGATCAGGACTAGGCCGGTGCAGGGTGCTCCTTGGCCCATAGGAAGTGGAGGGGTGGTCCCAAGCCCCTGGCCTGTGGGCCGGGCAGCGGCCTTGTAGAGGAGCGAGCCCGAGGCTGAGCTGCCCTGGCAGTTGCCTGGCTGCACGGCCCTGTGCAGGTGTAGTTTCTGTAGCCCTGCGGGCCTGGGTGACGAGAGCCGATGGGTGTTCCTGGGGGAGCATTGGGCGTAGTGCTGGGTGGGGCGAGAGCCGATGGGTGTTCCCGGGGGAGCATTGGGCGTAGTGCTGGGTGGGGCGGGCAGAGACTCCTGGGGCACCGCATCCTGCCCTCTTGGCCTGCATTTGTCACTCCACCCGACCAAGGTGTGGGGCTGCATGTCAGACGGCTGTGCTGCTTCATGGGCACTGAAGGACCGGCCTGCCTCCTGCGGCCCTGCATGCTGGGCTGCCTGCCCTGGCCCCGCCGCGGTACCCAGGGCCCCCGCGTCAGAGCGTGGGACTCCGCTGCCCTTGGACGCTGCCCCAAATCCTACCTGGTCTCAGGACCTAGCCGCTCGGCCTGCCCCTCGCCTTCTGTGATGTGTGGCTCTGTCCCCAGGCCTCAGGTCGAAGATTTCAGCCTGGACTCCTCTCTGTCTCAGTAAGTGCCTCTGGGGAGGGGCTGTGTCTGCACACCTCCGGGGCCTGGGTCCCTCTGGGACAGTCCTTGCGGTCCAGCGCCACTGCCCTGCAGCTGGACAGGACACAGCTTGCCTGGCAGCCTCCAGGGCTGCGATCAGACAGGGCGTGAGGGGCCCTGGAGCAGAAGCCCAGACAGGACACGGCCCGCAGTGGAGCCACAGGATGGCAGCTACCTGAATGGGTGCCAGCATGCCGGGCCCCGGACCCCAGCCTCAGCCCTGCTTGGGGCCTTGGGAGGGCGGCCCGCCCCACTGTGAGCTCTGCACACTCTTCCACTAAGATTTAGGTCAAGTGGCAGGAGGTAGCCGGTGTCCCTGGGTGCTCACCCCACCACACTCCGGGGCTCGGCACGTGGTGTGTGCCGTGATCTCCAAGTGAGGCTCTCCTTCGTGCGTTATTAATTACCATTGCCAGCAGCGGCAACCACCGTTCACCGGGCCTCTCTGGCTGCAGAGAGCTCCAGGCACCTGTCTGTCACTGTGGTTGGCCTTGTTAGTCTTGGAGAACCGTGGGCTGTGGCTGGGGCCATGGTGGGGCCTTTCTTCTCATCTAGCACCCCACAACAGAGTGGGTGATGGTTAGAGCCAGCCACGCTGGCAGGGCTCTGCCCCACCCCAGGCAATTGGGGGGCATAGATCTTTGTGTGGCCTCCAGAGGCTCAGGGCCAGAGTGAGAAGGGCCTGAGGGGCTGTCTTTTGGGGGGACGGCCAGGCCAGGGCTATCTGCTAATCTGAGGAGTCAGTACCCTCCTCCTGGGCCACTCTGCACCCCCCCTCCCTGGTTCCTAGGCCCCATTCCCCTGCCTGCCCTGGCAGTGAGCTCCCTGGGCAGAGCAGTCCATCCTGGGTGCTAGCCGAGGGCAAGTGTGAGGGGCTAGGGAGGCCTGGGGCCCACCGCCCTTCCTGCTGGAGCCTCAGCATCCCGGGCAGGGGTCTGTTGAGGCCCATAGGTGAGGAGCCGGGGGCCCACAGGTGAGGGGCCAGGGTCCACCCCAGCCAGCTCCCAGCAGTCAGTGCCTTGGGCCCAGTGTCTGGCCTCTAGGCCTCTGGGCTGGCCGCAGGCTCTGCCAGGGCGCAGGACCACCCAGTCAGGGACTTGGCGGGGCTCTTAGCCTGGCTGGGCACTTGCTGCACAGAGCCCTGAGAAGCCTGGGCTCAGCCGCTGGAGGATGGCGGCCAGCGCCCTGTGCCCTGCGCCCGCCCTCCAGGCACTCACAGAAGAGCCCCAGGCTGGGAAGCTCATTGTTAACTCCACTGTGGACAAAGCACCTGGCCTGCCCGTGGGAAGCCGTTCTGTCATTGTTGCTGTTCCCCAGGGAGGGGGCCAGGTGGGGGCAGGACCTGAGTCTGGCCGCAGTCCCAGGACTCTGCTGCCTGCCAGGCCAACACAGTTCCATGACCCCAGGACTTCAGGCCGGCCTGAGGGCACCCAGAGTCTGGAAGGGGAGGGGCTGCCCGAGGGGGAGGGGGGTGGTAGCTCAGAGCCCTCCCCCCCCCTGCTGCAGCCAACTGGCCTGACTCAACCTGGCGGGGGCCCCGCCCCCGCCCGCCCCTTTCCGATTCATTAAGGCAAGTCACACCTGCCCCCTTCCACACACTTCAGGGCCAAGTGGATAGTTTTCATGGACTTCTTGTGGTGGGGCTGGAGGAAGTGGCCGCCGCAGTTCATTAAACATTTAAGGTGAAGGAGTTCCATGAATTTCTCTGGCACTGCAGGGTTCCAACCTCGGGGAGGCAGAGCTGCGGCCTGTGGCTCCCCACTGGCTGGTGGGAGGGTGCCTGGCCACCCCGCCTTCGGGGCTGTTCCGATGTGTGCCCACAGCTGGCCGGCCCACTGTGGGCCTCAGGCCAGGCAGGGCTAGTCCAGGTCGGCTGGCCCGACCCCACACTAGCTTGGCAGGGTCCTGTGGCTCTGTCCCCATCTGTGAAGCACAGTGGCTCACTGTGGCTGGGTCCCCGGCCATCGGGAGGGCAGCAGCAGAGGGAGAGGGTCGCTGCACAGAGCCAGACGTGGGTGTAGACGTGGGCTGGCGGGGTCTCAAGAGGAAGCGAGGCACCAGCCCCAGAAGAAGGGCCTGGGAGGCGGCCGGCTGGGGAGGAGTGGACAGGAATACCCCAGGACATGATATCCAGCCCAACCTGCCCAGCGGGGAAGAAGAAGGGAGGCAGGGGATGTCTGGATCCCCAGTGTGTCCAGAACGCAGAGCTGGCTCTGACCTGGGGGAGGGGCAGCCATGGGTCCCGAACTGGAAGGGCGAGAGGGGCAGGGCAGGCCCCAGACCACAGACTGGGTGGGTTAAAAGACAAGGCTTGTTCCCGCTCAGTTATGCACCAAGCCCGTGATGGAGGAGTGCAGGGCAGCTCCCAGCACCATACAGCAGAGGGAAACGTGCACACTCGTGCGTGAGCACACACGTGTACAACCGCATGCCAGCGCTGGCCTGGGTGGCAGGGCCAGTGTGGGGAGTCAAGGAGGGGCCTTGGTCAGTGGTGGTGGGCTGAGGCCTGGCTGGGGAAGGAGCCCCCTCCTCCCTGCCCCCCCCCAGGTCTGCATGGTGGAGGAGGCCAACAAATAGGGAGGAGCTGTTCTTGGGCTCCAGTGTGCCTTAGGACCTGTGCTGGGAGGACTGCAGAGGAGCTGACCCAGGCCAGGCCCTCACCTCCCACTGACGCCCCTGCCCTGCCTGTCCTTGACCTCTGCCCTGTCCCACCCGGCCTCCAACTCCTTCAGACACTTTCTGGGGTCTCTCCCAGCTGGGGCTCCCTGTCCTGGGAGAGAAGGAGGGTGTGTGTGGTGCAGTGGATATGAGAAGGGGGAGGAGGGGATGGGATGGAGTGGGGGTGGTGAGTGTGTGGTTGGGGTACACCAGCCCTAGCACTGAGCTGCCCTCCGGTCTAGGAGAGCCTCTCAGGATTGAGGGCCGCCCCCGGGACCGCCTGCACCAGGTCTGGTGCCCGTCCTCAGCGGGGAGGGCCCGGGCCCCGCACTATTCCTGAGCTCTGTGACCCACGGAGCCGGTCTCCACCCCGCAGTGGCGCACACTGGAAAGGCCGCTAGGCACACAGTGGGCCCGCACCCTCGGTGGGAGTCACACTCGGGAATGAAGACCGAACACCTTTGGGGACATTGGGGTGGCCAGACCCAGCCGGCAGTGACAGCTCATACAACCCACAGCCTGGGGCTCAGAGACCCCTGTCCCAGTGGACGGTGACGGGGGGGGGGGGAATTGGAGAGGAGGGGGGGGGGGGAAGAGGAAAACAGGACCTACCTCCACCTGCAGGGCCCGAGGTGAGGCAGCCTGAGGGAGGGGCCTCCGCTGCGGCTTCCAGAGGCTCCACGTCCACGTCCCACACGTCTGTCCTTGAGGCTGCAGGGCGTGGCGGGCTCAGATCACAGCCACTGGGGCTGCAGCTGCACGGCCCTCTGTTCACCATGGCCCACAGCCCCGCGGGAGGCACAGTCCTGTGTCTCCGGGGCTGGAGGGCCCTGGCTGCTGAGAATGTGGGGGCCAGCAGCCTCAGGCATCCCGAGGCCAGGCTCAGAGGGCTGCGGGCAGGGCTGCCATGGCCAGGGCCCAAGGCTGCTGTGGACACAGACCTCTCAGATGCCAGCTGTGGGCAGCACCTCCCGGGTCCCTCTGTCCTCTCCCTCCCTCCCACAGTTTGGGAGAAGGTGGACACTGGGGCCAGGGCACCGCCAGCCCAGCACCGTGGCTCTCTCCTGCCTGCAGGGTCCAGGTGGAGTTCTATGTCAACGAGAACACCTTCAAGGAAAGGCTCAAGCTGTTCTTCATCAAAAACCAAAGATCCAGTGAGTGAGGGTCGGGGTGCTGCTGGGAAGGGCGGGTAGGGCAGGCACAAATGAGCCAGGGGGCGTACTAGCTGTGTGACTGGAGCTGTACTGCCCAGTGGTGGGCACAGGGCAGGTCAGCTGGCTTCACGCTGCCCGAGAACAGTACATCTCCAGGAAGGCCACACAGAGCCCACAGGGCCCTGCCCCAGCGCCCGACCCCGAGCTGGGCTGGCCTGAGCCATCCACCCTGCCTCTGCCGCTCCCCGCCCTTGCTGGCTTCAGCTCTGGCTGCCCTGTGCTCCCGGGGAGCTGGGAAGAGGGCGCTGAGCCTGAGCCCTGGGTGTCAGCTCCCTAGCCTGCTTCTGAGCACAGGAGCAGCCTCAGGCGTCCTGAGCCCCAGTTCTGTGGGGGAAGTAAGTCCTGCTGAGGACCACCCGGTTGTCCCTGGAGCACCTGTCCCCTCCCTCTCGGGGGGGGGGGGCCTCTGCTCGGACACTCCTTCCCACTTCTACTCACAGGCCTGAGGATCCGGCTCTTCAACTTCTCCCTGAAGCTCCTCACCTGCCTGCTCTACATTGTCCGAGTCCTGCTGGACAACCCGGACCTGGGCATCGGATGGTGAGTGACCTAGGGTCAGGATGATGGATAACTTGGGGTCAGGATGATGGATGACCTGGGGTCAGGATGGTGGGTGATCTGGGGTCAGAGTGGTGGGTGATCTGGGGTCAGGGAGGTGGTGATCTGGGATCAGGGTGGTGCTAACCAGGGGTCAGGGTGGTAGGTGACCTAGGGTCAGGATGATGGATGACCTGGAGTCAGGGTGGTAGGTGACCTAGGGTCAGGAGGATGGATGACCTGGAGTCAGGGTGGTAGGTGATCTGGGGTCAGTGTGATGGGTGGTCTGGGGTCAGGATGATGGGTGACCTGGGGTCAGGGTGGTGGGTGACCTTGTGTGACCCAGGTCAGCGTGGTGGGTGACCCGGGGGGCAGCAGCCTGGGGGTGGGGCCCAGGGTCCATGGGCTGTCTGCTTATCTGTGTCCCACTGGGGGTCTGCGTACAAGACTGTGCCGGGCCCCAGGCAGGTCTTCAGGAGAGGGAGCTTTGGAGAGTCCTTCCTTCCTCAGTGTGACCCCACCCCAGAGCTAGAGGTGCACCCGGGACACGGCTCCCAGGTTCCTGCTGACTGCTCAGCCTGGGGAGGAGGAGGCCCGTTGTGGAGCTGTGAACACAGCTGCTCACGGGCCCAGAAGTCCTCACCCTGCTGGAGAGTCAGGTGCAGGCTCCTCCGAGTGGGGTCCTGTTCCCCTGCGGCGGGCAGCAGGCCGGCCCTGGCTCCGCGCCAGCTTCTGGAGGCTCTGCCTGCCCCTCTGGGGCCCGCGGCGTCCTCGTCCTGGGCTGATCTTCCACCGTGTGGGTGCGGTGCTGGGGCCGCTTTGTGGAGAGGGACCTGTTTCTGAGGCGTCCTGCAGGAGCCACCCAGGGAGGACTGGAACTCGTTCTTGGAAGTCTTCCCTGGTGCTCCGCTGCCCTTGTGCTGTGAGAGGTCAGTGTGTTTCCCAGCCCTGACCGTGGGCCACACCACTGCTCTCCACCCGAAGCCGCTGGGTTCCCCATGCCCAACATGCCTTCTGTGGCCCTGGCTCCTCTCTGGGTGGCCCAGTGGACCACCTGCTCGGAGATACCTGCTCTGTGTCTCCCGTCTCCTGCTCGGCCTCTGTTCTGAGTTCTAGCTTCCAGTGAGCCTGGCCTCCCCGTGTCCCTGCCCCTCCCTTTCTTGTATTACCTCCTCTGGGGGACCTCCTCTGGGGGACTGCCAGCACATGCTGGCCCAGTTCACACCAGTGGATTTCCACTTAGAGTGGGCTTAGATGCCATATAGGTCTGTAGTCCGGTCACAGTGTGGAGGGCTCCAAGTGCAAAGTGTGCACTCTTGGAGCAAGGACCGCTGGGGTCCTGGGCACAGAGCCGGGAAGGAGGCCAGACCCTGGCACCTGGGCACAGACTTCGCTATTTCCCCCCTTCTGTTTGCTACCCATTTTAGGGGGATGTCTGGTGTCCCCTGTCTAGAGACTCTCACCACTGTTGAGAACAAACTTCCTACGTTTATCCAGGTCAGAGGAGAGCAGAATCCCAAGGGTGGTTTGAGAAGGAGAAATGGGGGCTGGCTCTCCACCACCTCTTGGGTCCATCTCAGCTCTGCACATCCCCGAGGAGTCTGGGCGTCCGCGTTCTCCTCCCCAGAGCCCACGTCCACTGTATTCATTATCCCAAACTTAGCTCGGTGCCTGGATCAGGGGTGGTGGTGAGAAGGTGGGCGGGTGGGTAGGAAGATGATGGATGAATGGATGGAGGGAGGGAGGGAGGGAGGTGTAGATGAGATGGTGAATGGATTCTGGATAAGAGGATGGATTCTTGGGTCTCAGATGAGATGAAGATGGACAGGTGATTGGACAATGGGTGGATAGACAAGAAAGAGATAGGAATGGGTGAATATTGGGTAAGAAAACAGGAAGTGGGTACACGGAGGGGTGGAAGGATGGGAAACAACTCCAGTGAGGCTCAGGAGGGAAGTCAGCAAGGGAGAAGGGGAGAGGAGGGGAGGGGAAAGGCGAGGAAGGGGAGGGGAGGGGCGGGGCGGGCTGCCCGTCTCAGCTCTCGGGCTGGACTGGTGGTGGCTGTGGCCTAGGGTGGAGCCGTGGGGTCAGCCCTGCCTTGCTGCCTGTCTCCAGCTCTAGGCACTGGGCCAGTGCTTGCCCTCCTGGCTGCCCTTGGGGACGATTGTTGCTGTAGGACTTTAGGGCAAAGGCTTCCAGACTGTCTCGAGCATCCTCCCCCCTTGCCGGAGGCAGCTCCGGCCTCCAGGAGGCCCTGACTGTCCAAGATTCTCTGTGGCTGAGCAGGGGCAGCCCTTCCCCCCAGGGGCTTGTTAGCACCACAGAACCCAGCCCCCACTAAGCTGAACCTGCTGTCCAGCCAAGTGCTCCTGGCGTCTTCCTACCCGCCCCCCCCCAGGCTAAGACCTCCCTGCAGGTCACTACGGGGTGTGGGGGACTTGGGCTGAGTGCCCCTCTCGTGTGCCCTGGGTTGGCACTGGAGGCGCTGTGGCCAGGCTGGCTCCATCTCTCCACAGCTGGGGCTGCACCAAGTACAACTACACCTACAATGGCTCTTCTTCTGAGTTCAATTGGTGAGTTCACACCTCGGCTCCCATCTTCCAGGCCATGTGGGGCCCGGCCAGGGCTGGGATGGGCAGACAGGAGACAGAAGGGGCACCCAGAGGCTTACACTGCCCAGCCTCCACCAGAGAGACACCAGGTTCGCTGTGGGCATGTTCAAGGGCACCGGACCAGGACTGGAGTCAACACTGGGACCGGCCCTTCAGAGAATGATCAAGAACTATAGCAAATGTTGGTCTGCTGGTCTCCAGAGCTGCCCATGGGTCTCTGCTCCTTCCCACCCTGTGCAGCTGGGCTTGGGTAGAGGAATGCTGGTCGCTGCCACTGTGCCCGCGGCTCACCCCTCTCTCCCCGCCAGGGCCCCCATCCTGTGGGTGGAGAGGAAGATGACCCTCTGGGTGATCCAGGTATGTGCCCAGCTGCCCCTCCTCCCCAGAGGCGGAGGCCCAGGGAGCAGACACGCTGACCCAGCTTGGTAAAGTGGGGGTCCAGGCTTGAAACGTTTCCTAGAAAGTTCCCAGAGCCTGCACGGGTCTCTCAGCTCTCAGCCTTTCCTCCCTGCCTGCCCTCCCCGGCCGGCCCCTGCCCTGCCGCCTGCTAGCAAATCTTGGGACTGAATGCCACAGCTCCCCCGCACTAGAGGGGACTCCGAGCCGCCCTGCAGCAGCCACAGACCTTGTGCAGCCTGGGAGTGCTGTGACACCCCCCCGCCGCCGCGCTCCCAGCTCCCCCCACGGCCCACCGCACCCTGCCTGCTTCTCTGGGGTCCGCGCTCCCAGCCCCCCCACGGCCCACCGCACCCTGCCTGCTTCTCTGGGGTCCGCGCT